TCCGATTCCGATCATTTGATTTTGACAATCTGCCGATACCGATTTTTCCCGATCCGATCTTTATGCAATGCATTAAGAGGAAAAAAAAAAGGTAACAGATAACGGCTGGTCATCCAATGCGATGAATTCAGCTATCTTGGCTGTTATTTGTTTGGCCTTTTCACTGTTCTGGGGTAGTTTCTCTTTCCTTTTAAAAGTCTCTGAAAGTGTCGGTTGTTTCAGTGCCGTTACCTGAGTGGCCGCTGTGTACTCGTCGTGTTGTTGTTGGTGGTGTTTGTATTAGATTGGTCATGTTGAACGTAGCTCTGTTCTTTCCACCACGCGGAACCTCCGCCTTGCAAACATTGCATCTGGCTGTTACACTGCCTTCGCTTTCAATTTTATAGTACTTCCAAACTCCTGACATTTTCTCTGTCCCGACTCCCGAGTCACCAGCTGAACGTAGCCTCTTGTTAGCTTACTGCTACTATTAGACACTGCGCCCACTCTGTTGCCAGATTTGAGAGAAATAAGCAACCAGGTCTATGAAAACAAGCCCAAAAAAAGCAACACATACATGATGTTGTGTAATTTTAACCCAAAACTAAGGCCTCAGGATGACTTTAAGACGTGAACATGGTCATTTTTGTTTTGTAACATTAAATAAAATGTATAAAAATATTTTATAAAAAAAAAAAAAAAAAATTCCGATCCCCGATTTTTTTCTCCCGATCCCCGATCACGTGAAAATCACGTGATCGGCTCCGATCCCCGATCACGTGATCGGATCGGGACATCCCTAATGATAGGTCCACTTTAAGTAAAAGTTATATTTGCACAAAGATGTAGCTTTAGTGCAGAGTTGCCATCCTTTTATAGATTGTAAGGAGATTTTTAAAGAGGCAGAAGCTTTCGAACAGTTGGTTAAATCATTGCCGTTTTGTTTGTTTAAAACCCTACATGCACAGCAAGCTGCTCTGTCATCATTAAACATTTTAGTGAAGATAATATATTATGAGATGCCGGTAACATAACATCAGAGTTACTTACAGATTCTTATCTGGTACCTCTTTAGCGCACAACAGTTGCCCGAAGCACTGACTGCATTAAACTAGTCTGCATGCTAATTTGACTTGAGGAGACAGATATATAATTTACTGTTTTTCTGTTATATTTGTGTTTGAGTTTCATCATTAACCTTTCAGATGATATGTTATGATGTGACTCTTTAAAGTTTCCGACTTGAGGCATGTTTTTAAAATAGTGTATGTGAGCTTGAGAGTGTGTTTTTGTGTGTATGCGAACTTTGGCTCCAAATGGAAACATTAATAACAAGATGAAAAGAGGGATTCTTTGAGTTTCTGTCATAATAAATATTAATTACAACAGAGACTCAGCACCAAGACATTTCACAATAGGACAGATATTTCTTTGTGATAAATGCCTCCTCTATTGAAAAATACTTCACACAGTCTTTTCTGTTCTTATCCTGGAAGATGGTTTGCAAAGAGGACGGACCCGGGCTTCTCACATAATATAAATCAATGCAGGGCGCGGGGAGCTCGTGCATCCCTTAATGGCTTTGTGGAAACTTGGCAAGAGAGGAGCCACAACTTTTCCTGGTGCTATATTCCATACTGAATGTATCAGAAATGTAAACAATCGAACCAAATTGGTAAAATCCACTGGCTACTCTGTTTTCAAACCTTTAACCTTGACTCGACATCTAATAGTCTAGTACTTTAAAAAAAGCTAGTGTGGGTCTTTGGATGCTAATGTCCACCACTTCAATCTAGGCAAGAAAAAAATTGAACTATTCGACAAATGAAGATACCGATGGTCCCCAGAGGATGAATCTAACGGTGCTTGAACACCTAACCTTTTTGGCACGGTTAAAACAAACTCAGGTATGTATTTCCAATTAGTATAGTTCCTTTGGATTTATGTAAAATCTCTCATTAGTGGGGCTTTCAAAGCAATTCAACAAAAGGATTTGAAAAAGCTGAACTTATAACGCCATCTACGATGTTATAATTGATCTATATATCCAACTTTGTCAGTTCATTAAGTTCATTATAAAGTTTGTGAAAGTGATCCTACGATAAGCCTCAAATCATTACTGCGTCAGGTTCTTTTTTGTCTCATTTCTAGCTGTTAGTCATTATTCATAACATGCAGTCTCTTTGCAAATTGCTAATATGCATAGTCATATATCATTTTATTCTATCGTTAGCTCTTTGTGTAGCGTCAAAGAGCTTAAAACCTCTCTGAGTAATCAAAGTAGTTTTTCCCAAGTTGGTCCTGATGATGCAGGTCGCCAACATGGTTCAATAGCAAGTAACCAGTCTGTATATCTTCATGTTTACTTCTCTTGGTTTGTTTTAAAAAGTTGTTGTGAATAGCAACTGGAATAGGACTGAAATGCAGAAAGATATATTTGTTCTCCTTGGTCCAGACCGAATTAATGGAACTACAGGTGTGAAAGCACCTTAACTGAATATGGTGAGACATGACTTCTCCTCTAGAGCCACCAGCAGGGTAATATTTCTGGTTTCTAGTCAAAGCGTTTTTACATAATACAAGTCATAATCATAATCATAATCAGAAACAGGTTTATTACCAGGTAGGTTGACACTTACGAGGAATTTGACTTGATGTCATGGTGCATACATAAAAGTAGAACAAAAATTAAAAACACAGATAGAGAACTATTTTAAGAAAACTATAATAACATTACAAAATAATTTACCCATTCAGACAGAGGCAATGGCTGCCATACAAGATGCCACCTTCTCGAGGAAGCTAACATTCACCCGCACTCACACACCTTTAGCCATGCCATTGGGAGCAATTAAGGGTTATGTATCTTGCCCTAGGATACATCGATAGGTTTTACTGCAGCGGCTGGGAACCCACAACCTTAGATTGACAGACAACCACACTCCCTCACAGCCGCATTCACCCTATTAGTAAATTCCTCATTTCAAATGTCCATATGATTATGACATTTCTGGGATAACAGTTTCGTTACGGCTCTAAATAATAATGGTGAGCATGTTAGCATGTTGTTAGCATTTAGCACAGCTCAGCATCACAGAGCTGCTACCAGCTGCATTATTTTGTCTTGTTAAACCTAATCTTGATTCAGACACTAAATACTTTTTACTCAAGCACTGAAACCTCTGCCAGCTTTTCAGTGAAATTCACCTTATAGCAGGATAAGAATGGATCTGACTTGGTAGCCTTGTGTTCTTCATAAAGCAATACCAGCATTAACAAGTTTCTGTTGTGATGTGTTTAAACCTTTGAAATTACCTTCAATTTCAATTCAAATTGGTGTAATTGGTGCCATCAATGTCCTTCTGTCCACAGCAGACTTTTTGTCCTCCAGGCAGATATGGGCAATATCAGGGTTTAGGTTACAGGTCATTTCCCAGTGGGATCAGCCGGCTCCTGCAGAGGGCTTGTGATAAGAGTGATATTGGAAGCTATGTAAACCTTGTTAAGCTGCCCTTCCCCTGTGTGCAGGGGGGTAATCCTAAACACCTGGGCTAGTTAACTGGGATTTGGCAGGATTAGGGGCTCCACGAGGCAAACCTGATCTTGCTTCCGATTAAATCCATTTCCATTCTTATCTTTTCACATTCTCTATCTTACAATTCAAACTCAATCCAGACGTTACACAAACCTTTTATACTGAGCTATTTTATACCTGCCCATACCTGTAATTCTGGGATTTGAGATATAAGTAAGCCTAAATGTGATTCACTAGTCTAGGCTTGGACATCCTGTTTGGTTAAAGTTCATACTGTACATAGGATTTAAATGCTCAAAATGTGTTTTTGATCCATATACATGCTTCTGGTTTTGTTGTAATGGTGTTTGATTTTAACCTTGTTGGCAGTATGATTTTACGGATGGTAATCTCCATCTGTTGTCTGGTCCACCACTTTGGTCAGACTTAAATATCTTTGTATGCATGGATTATCATAACATTTGGTACCAACAGTATTTGTCCGCAGAGGATGAATCCTATTGCCTTTGGTGATCTCTTTATTTTTCCGTGCGTTTCCCACTGTTAGCATGAAATTTAAATTTTTGTTTCTATCAAAATATCTTGACAACTTTTGGGAAAGATTGCCTTGCAAAATGGTTCAAACATCCAGAGTGGCTTTTGGTGAATGTTCCTGTTGTACCATTATTGCAGTAGATGATCAATATTTCAATTTGTCCAAAACATTTTTGACCAAACACTTGCATCACGAGCAGAATCCCCATCAACCTCAGATGTTCTCTCTGTTGGCGCTCATTAGCAGAATGAGCATGCTAACACGCTACATTAAGATGGTTGGTGCTAACGTTGGCCTTTTGCCTGTATACTTTTGTATTTGTATTCCATTGAAGGCAGGTACTGAAACAACATTGTACTAGAGCTGCAACAATTAGTGGACTAATCGATTTTCAATAGGCAATTATTTTGATAATTGGCACCTTAACCAGCCATAGGTACCCCAATTATTTTATTTTGTATTATTTGTTTTGAATGAATGTGTTATTAAGGCTCCTGTTGGATATTTGTTTTTTTCACAAGCCTTTGTTTTTCATGACCCCCATTTTTAAAGAAAAATGCCCAGTTGATCAGTTAAAGGGTACTTTTTGGGGGAATATTTGCCTTTGTTTTCAGTGTAGAGATGCTAGAAATTGGGAGTAAGAAACTAAGAATGGTATGACTTGCAAAAAAAAATCTCAATGTTGAAATCCCCTCCCTTGTGCGTGGTGGTAATGCAGCTTCTACTGTAAAAAAGTGCTCTGGAATAAATGTTCTTGAAAAAGGCATTCATTTAATAAGGTTTTCAGTTATCATGTAATGTGTTTTTGTATCTGGTAAGTGGCTGAATGAAGCACAACCAATTCCATTATAATGAATTACATTTAGAAAATCTATGATTTTGTGTCACCCTCATCAAGAAAGCCTTTGCTCCATCCACTAACCACCCCCTCCTTCTTTCCTCCTTTTCTAGATGTGGACGAATGTGCAGAGGCGCTTGACAACTGCAGCATCGATGCAATCTGTCAGAACACCCTGAAGTCATACAAATGTATCTGCAAGTCAGGCTATAAAGGGGATGGAAAACACTGTGAAGGTAAAGTCTTAAGGGATTAATGTACTAATTTACTGTGGTTGGAGGCACACACTTCTTCTCCCGTCGGTGGGAGCACAGGAAGGGTTTTTTACAGTACATTAAAGTAAAAGGAACATTTCTCAAGTTGATTTGCCTCATCTATCTGAACGTAAGCCCTTGGGCCAGTGACAGGCTTGATAAGACCTTCTGTCTCACTCAACATAACTCACTAGCTTTAAGACTCTCCTGAAGAGGTTGGAGAGAGAGTGGGAGAGCGGCAGACAGAGGAAGGGGAGAGCCAGGTGCAGAGTGCTCCTTTGTGACAAGATGAAATGAGGCAGTACATTTCCTACACATGTTGGAGGAGAGAATTAAGATAGTGGCTGAAACGGCAGTCGGGGGCCCTGCCAAGCAGTCAGGGATATTTCCACAGCCAGAGGCAGGCCTTGTAGACTGTCAGACAAAAGTCTGTTTTTTTAACCTTTCTCAATGTGCCCACAGCTTCCCGATCATTATATTCCAACATTTTTATTAGGATTATTACAAAACCATATTTTATGTCATTTTTTTTCCATACTATTATTATTCTTTCATTAACTTGACAGGGTGTTTTTCATGGCCCCCTGCCTGGAGGTTATAAAAGTTGTCCTTATTGAATCTATTGTAAAATATGTGCAAGGTCGGGTTTCCATAGAACTGAAGGTTAGCTGACGTCTCTCTTCAAGGCCGATCCACTTGAACAATTCAAAAGTAACATTCATAAAAATGTGCTGAACAATATCTTTGAGTAACTGGGGGATTGATTTGAGAAGAACAGTACCTGTTACTTGTGTGAGAAGAGAGCGGCAGGAATCCAAAAAAGGAAGGCTAATGTTTCCATGCTGTATGGCGTGACAGCTGATATGTTATGATTCCATATGAGCACAAGATTTTGTCTTCAGGGGACTCTTGATTTGTCTGCTGTTAAATTATACATTCAACATTTGTTCAAGTATGTCTAATAATCGTCAGGTGCCCAATTGGACAGTTCTTGCAGGTCTTTCTTGCTAAAGAAAGCTCCCATCCTAAAATTCTCTTTGTGTATAGTAAGTTAAAAAAGACAAAATCCACACTCCCCATTTTTCCCAAAAATAAGGTTATCTAATAATGTTATATGTTTCAGTAGTTTAATTTAGATCAACCTTGCCTTATCTTATCTCCAAAGGCTTTGTTTTTATTGTGCTACATTCCCTCTTTGAATTACCAGACCGTGTTTTACCAGTGTGTACAGCTGGGAAAAAGGATTTCTGTTTTTTTGAGGTGCTTAAACTGACAAAATATGACAATGAACCTCAAAATTACACTCAAGGTGAAGGTAATTGGATTGCAAATCAGTTGCTTAATCTTACTCCTTTCGAAATAAATTACAAGGGAATGATTTGTTTTCACTATTAACTTTATTGAGTTTGCTTTTATAATTTAGGTTGGTGTATTGGTGCAAAAACACCATAAATACAGAAATGGAAATTTGTCCATGACCTTATATTTCCGTTTTTCTATAGAAAAGCTGATATATTGTATTTGATTATATATTACATTGATGTCAGTAAACCAAACTAAAACGTAATTCTTTTAAATCACATCCCTTAACATTTAAGTCTGATAATTAAATTAATGATTTTACTCTTTTATGTATTTACATGCTTTTCTAAAAGACTTCTTGTAGATGTAAAAGGGACAAAAGGTTGCAGGACGTGACATGCATCAGATAAAGGCGAACTCAAAGCTATTGGAGAAAACATGACTTTATTAACATGCGGTGGGTGTTTCAGGTTTAGAGAGGAGCAGAGAAAAGGGGAGGCTGATTGAATGCTGTGATGGGGGAATGACAGATGTGTGGGAGAGGCAGGGAGAGGAGAGTGTTTCTTTGTTTCAGTCTCATCCCTCTGCTGTCAAGGCGAATTAAGCCCAGAGTCTCAGAGAGGAGCCGAGCGACCGGGATCATCGGCCCTGAATGGGTCCGTAAGTGCTGAGTGGAAGTACGCTGAGTTCTCAACCCACCTTGTTTGGGTCTCCTCAGTACGAGGCCTTCAACCATCATCATAACCATAAGAGACAACTGCTCTCAGGCTGTCAAAGCCTCTCTTTATCTCACGGGCCTCTGCTCTCTTTGTGATGTGTCGCATTTCCTTGGGTTTAGCTACAGGGACTGATGAACCGAAATGGTCAATATTAGCCTTTTATTCATTATCGGCTAACAGTCAAATTGTAAAAGTCATTAATGTCAGTACTAATGTAAAGTAGGTTCCTTTTTGATGATGTACTTAGGCATACAATAATGACATTTTACCAAATCATTGTTGTGTTTTGTATAAGTATAAATTGACATTTCTATACTTATAAATAGTTGCAAATTGTTACAACTGACTACCTTTTATGTGTCTTACTAGAACGCTTTAGTACCACATTTTTCACAAAATACGGTTCAGGGGGCTTTGACCTCCTGCCAACAATAAATTCCAATGGGAAAAGCAATGGCTTGGCATTAAACTGGTAAAATATTAAGATATTAAATAAATCAGTATTACAAAAAATCAGTGAAGCTCTGGCATGTGCTAAAGTCACACCAGTAACAGGTGAGCCAACTAATTACCACATCAGTTGCCTCATCCATGTTCACCTCATGAGAGCTTTTAATAAAGCAGAGATGGAACAGAACAGATCATTTTAATTGTCTGTGTTACACCCAACGGCCTAATTGCTCTCACAGATTTTTAAAGGGATTTGTTTGACACTTATGAGCCTATGAGTTTCCTTTCAGAGAAAATGTGTTAATTAGCAAGCTTTAACGGTTCTGGCAAGTGGATATTTGTATTATCGGATTGAGCCAGAGTAGATGCTTTTATGCTAAGCTAACTGGCAACAACTTCATACAAATATTAGACTGGTATTGATCCTCTCATCTAACTCTATGCCAGAAAGGAGATGATATTTGTTCCTTTTAAGGCTGACCAACATCTTAACTCTTAACTAAGCATTCCCAATAGTATCTCAATGATTAAGAAAATATGCTTAAAACCTACTGTAATTAATTTACCTCTTCACATCTCTTTTAGTAAAGAACCTTTTGAGTGAAAACTTTCAAACAATCGTACATAAGGTAATACTCCCTGCTTAAATAAAGGATTAAAAACAAACCATTCTCTGTTTCATCTACAATGATTTCAAGACAGCTTTTTCAAGTCACTCGCGATAATATTCACGATTATCATGATTCACCAAAAACAATGTGTGCTTGATTATTTCCCCTGGTCTCACCCCGACCCTAATCTTTAATGGATCTTGATTGCTTGAAGTTTTGCAGAACTTTCTCTCACATCCTTGTGTATCTTCTCTCTGCAGATGTCGACGAGTGTGCAACTGAATACAACGGTGGCTGCGTCCATGAGTGCATAAACATCCCGGGAAATTACAGGTGCACATGCTTTGATGGCTTCCGCCTGGGACATGACGGGCACAATTGTCTAGGTGAGTGTGTGATGTGTGGGAGTGTGTGTGCACTTAACACTGCGCGTGCGTGCTTAAAGGACCTTTTAAATATATGTATATAGATAATATATTCTCCGCAGCTGTCTTAATTATGCAGGAAATATACAAGGAGCTTTCTTTTACTTGAACACATACAGTACGTGTCAAACTCATTGTGACATAAAACATGAGGTTGCATAAATTCTTCTAACTGAATGTCTAATGTCACATCATGAATGGTAATATATGTTCCGGGCTGAATAGAGCTCTAATGAGACCGCTGCATCCGATATGAGCTCTTTCCTAGTTTCACATAGCTGGCTGTCTCTGATTGTGTTTTCACAAAAGAGAAATGGATACTTTTTCTTTAATAAGTCTGACTAACAGTGGTGAATTTATGAAGAGCTTGACCCTGAGCTGAGAGCCCTGAGTGAGCCGTGAGCCGGACGTTCTTTCCCATGGTTTAATATTTCACCGGTGTGCCGTTCATATTAACCTCACAGAGAACCTATTACGCTTAAAAGGTTATGAAATGTAGGGGAAAGAAAACACAGATCTTCCTGCTGCTGGGAGTAGCTAAACATAGACATCATCCACCCAGCCCCCCCCCCCCCCCCCCATTCTGTTCTCCCCCATTTACCCATCCTGCATTCCTTTGTTTTGTTTTAAATCCCCCAAGCCAGGCCCTGCTGCTCCTCAGAAATCGTCTCCCTGTTGCTAACAACCTCAGCACGATGCATTTCACTCAATGTTGAAAGTTTGCTAACCCCCATAGTTGCTGTGAGGTTATTATAGAGGAAAGTAACCTGCAAAGATTCGCTACAGAGGATTTCACATTCAGGTAAAGTGATGACATCAGCACTTAGCAGTAATTCACTGTGAAGGCGCTTTTACATGCGGGCAACGAAGCCACACAACAATATATTTGATATCAACCTCATGCGATGCTTGGGATTAAGATATTTTGATCGATTTATTAAACCTGCTCTGACTTGTCGATGCGCTCACGTCTCTGATTCTCTCCTTCTCTCACTCTTCCTGTATTTGTCCCTTCCTCTTCCCTCTCTCTCTGCCTCTTCCTCGCTCATGCACTTGTATATACTTTGTGTAGCAGGGCTATTTTCCAAGCCATTTAGCAACAGCGTTCAGTTGTGTGCGGATCATTTGCTCTGCCGTGGATCAGCTCCTATCTTACGTGCAGGTGTGTAATTGCAATATATGGTTGTGTGGCTTCTGCTATTGCACCAAACAGAGTTGCATCCATCGACCCCTTTGATTTCATTTGTCATAGTGAAACGATGACAACGAATGATCTCATATTCCTGTGAAGATCCAATGTATTATTAAAAGAGTACATCTTTTTTTATCCAAGCGTATAGCAAACAAAGGGGTGAAGCTTATATGTAGCTGTCAAGTACAAATCCAACCCTTGCCTTGAGACCTGAAAGGCCTTTAAAGACTTATTTTCTCAAGAATTTAACTCATTCTAATGCCTCCGCTCTGCTCTGCTTAGGAAATAATCCTCAGCACAAACACAAGAGAGCATAGGAAGAGCTATAGCCACGGTTTAATGTTAAGGCCCCAGCTTCCTATTCCATGTATAAGCTCCTTTTGGCCCCTGAGAAAAGATTAGTCCCCTTGGCCCTGGAGTGGCGAACCTAAGCAGCTGGTTCCCAGACGAGGTCAGACCCTCAGAGCCCTTATAGACCAGATGTGCCCGAGACTCTAGAGGAGGAGACTTTCACCTGATTCTCAGAAGTTCACAGAGGGGTTTAGATGCTGAGATCTTTAAACTGCTTCTCTTTGGTGTTGTTTCTCCACAAAGCTTCAGTGATTATGCTTTATTAAATATGTTTCCTTGCTTTCAGTGCCGTGTAAACTCTCAGTGGTGTCCGTAACTCTCCGCTCTCAGCCCTCTGAGGCTTTTCTTTAGCCAGTAGGCGTTGTGAGTGTGTGTGTGTGTCAGTGTGTGTGTCAGTGTGTGTGAGACTGTCAGCTCAGGCACACGAGTTAGACCAATGCATGCTCATCCCTGTCAATGTCTTCTTTGTTGGCTCGCTGCCGCACGTGCCACACGGCTCCTTGTAATTGAATGTGTTGGCAGCATAATGACATTGGGCGGTGGCAGAGGGCGGCGGAGCGTGAAGCAGAACGGGGGGACGGCGAGGCGGCGTTCTGCTGGTTTCTGAGGTCTCTCTCCTCTGACTGCCCTAAACCCCACAAAGATATCAGGAAGTCAGCAAGGTGGAAGCAATGCAATACCACAGCACAGTGCTCCTGTCTGTGCGAAGTGAGATGTCACTCACTGTATAATTTACCGCACAGGGAGCTATTGTACCCTCTCAAAGCTCCCACTGAACAGAGGAGCTGAAGCATATAAGAGCTTGATTACATCTTTTATAAATGTCATGACTATTATCTCGCAGAGGTAAGGGAGGGATGGTATTTAATCACCACACCTCTTTCATGGCGAGGCTGTAAAGGATTTTTAGAGTCTTAGGAAAAACAGAGGAATCAATGTCAATTTAATTCAAAACACACATCCTCTTTAGAATGAAAACCAGATGCAGGAAGGCGATTAGTTCCCCACTGTAGCACCACCGTCCCCACATTTATGACCTACATGTTTTGGTTGAGGTCCTGCAGAAACCCAAATCCCCTCTTATCATTGCTAGTTCGTTAAAATCTCTGAAGTAGCTTAATATCATAAGCATCTGGACAAATACTTCCTTTCTTTGCAACTTCAAATCACAACATTTGACTCTATGCGGAACTAAAACACGCAGAGGAAGATACTTTCTTATCCTGCCATAAAGTGGAAATGCCACAATCGCATGCAGCCTGAGTGTGACTCAGTGGGGAAAATAAAAGCAGTCATGAAATAAACATTGCAGATGTTCAACAGAGCGCTTCCATACTGCAATGGATACGCTTTTGTCATTTCCTATTTACCTAAATAAATCATGCAGTTAGTCATATATGTCGCTTCCTGTTGCCAGAGAACATATTTTGGGGTCTTGGGCTTCACACACAGCTTACCAGGCCATGTTCTTTTGATTTCTATTGACCAACACTGATTTGATTTGTATTGATTTAGTAGCGCTCAATTCCCCATGCAATCTATAGGGAAATGAATGCCCTTTTACTTTAACCTTCCCCAAAGACATAACATAATCTATAACAAAAAAGCAATGCCATTACAGCTTTGAAATAGGCTTTTAAAGAACAGCTTTGAAGTAGCAACTCAGAAAATGTCACGTTGGTTAACACTGTTTGGTGCTAATGGCTTTAAATGAATAGTGATTTTTTATTTTTGGGTGGAAAATGTCCCTTAGACTATTTTCGATAGAAAGACTCCATATGTCTTCTCAAACTCTCTGAGTCATAGCCTGGCCGGTCCGGTATCTCTGCTGTTGTAATCCTTTGGGATCATATTGCAAGGTTGGCTAATCAAACAGGAGGTTTCGGAATGATGTATTATTGACCTGGTACTGATGGGAAAAAGTAGTCATCAAAGAGCGTCACACTGATTCGCTCCACAGCCTTTGCTGCGCTCTTAAATGCATTTCTTCTAACCGTGTTGGCTACTCTTCTGAGGCACTGATGATAACATCCTCACCCTTCACTTGCGAAGAAAATATTTGGTACTAGTCTGGGAGATGTGCTCTCAAACACCACCTTTAACTCCTGGATATGTCGGATAGAGTCAGTAGGGTAGTGATGATCTGGTTAACCCCGCTCCCATCACCCCCAGAGGAGCTCAGGATAGCTCTCACACTGCTGGGGCTCAGCACTAACCCTCCTCACTTTCTCGCTGCAGATGCAAATACCCCGCTGTCTCCCAGTTAGCAGTCACTTTACTTTTGTTGTGACATGCACGGATCGAGTTTGGACAAGAGAGTGTCTCCACAGTTCACAGGAGAGGAGCTGGAGTGATGAGTTAAAGGGCGGATTTGAGATTGGTGCATTAGCTGGCTCCTGAAGAGTATATCAACACTCTCTCTCAATCTTCTCTCAGGATTGTTCAGTCCCATCCACCATGAAATGAACAATTCCAGCTGAGCCCAGTTGCAGGGCTTTGAGGGAAACTCAAGCCTGAGATTGGGTTTAGGGATGAAGCAGACTGGGAACCGTCAGACGTCAGCGCAGGGCCTCTCGTCTCCTTGGCATAAGGCTGTCCACCCAAACACTTATCCTGGAGTTTTGTTTTTAAAATACTTCCAGACTTGTTTTGGAGGAACAGAGAATGACCATTTAGCATGATTTTAGCTCTTAGTTTTTCTCTACGAAAGAACTCAGCGAGAGAATGTAGAAATCAAAGAGTGTGCTTATTTACCAAAACGGTAACCTGGGAGATGGGCCTGAAGTCGTACAAGTCTGAGTTGAATCAAAGCTAAATTAGTTTTGTTTATGTAACGGCATACAAAATCACCCATACCTGCTGGTGTTAGAAATGAAACGCTACAGTGATTGTACTGGTGTTTACTAAGCAGATGTGAATCACTTAGCTGTATTAGACACAGGCACAAAGGAAGTCCTGGAACTAATAAATAGTTCAAAGCGAAATGTGTCCTAATGCATCAACTTTAACTTTGAAATAGTCACCCACACATCTTTGATTGAAGAGAGTGTTTGTTCTGCAGATGAAAGATCAGGACTTCCTGCAACATATTACTTTATACAACCTCAGCTGACAGACCGAGGCTAAATGTTTGTTAACACAAAGTCAGTTTCTGCGTTTGTCTATAAACTCAATCGCCTCTCAGGCCGGGTTAAAACTTGGCTCGTTGACTACTTTTCATTCAAGTGGGAAGAAATATGCCGAGCCATTTAGCTCCAGAAGAAACACAGAAAAATAGGAAATCCTGTAATCCTCTATGAAATAAGAAAGGATCTTGTTTGATTTAAGCTGGCTGTGTTTTTGCCACTCGTTCCTCACTGTTCATCTACGAGAGACGCAGGGTCGTCTCCTGTAGTCCGCCAGCTGTTTTGCTGCCTGTCTCTGCACATGGCTCTGATTTGCTGCCTTATTAAAGAGTGTGTGCCTCCTTAACTCCTGTAAATGAAATGCCCAAAGAGGCCAGAGTCCGTCCACTCACCTCCTTGTCTCTGTCCTGTCTAGACCACAGAGACGGTTCTGTCTGATCCACACAGAAGCCGAGCAGTGGGATAGATGCATGGACTGCTTTTATGACGGACAGCAGTAGTCTTTCATTTTCCCCCGGGCAAAAAAAGAAACTCTGGGTCAGCAATAAATGCCCCGTGCTTGTTGAAAAAAAAGGAGAGTAAAAGAGTTGAATGTTTCTCTAAAATAAGGGTTCAGGAGTTTCTGTAAGGCAACCGCTGTGTTTACACGCCTTTAAAGTTAGCGCAAGGCCAAATGTTATATATACAGTGGAGGCTATCTGAGAAACCAGCGGACATGGCCTCCGCAAACACAACCAATCTCTTAATCTCTCTCCGTTTGAACCTTCCTTTTCCCTTCGACTCCCCGAGTAAAGCAGAGATAGAGCAGAGACAAGTCTCATTTTTCAGAAGTGAGGCAGCCCTTTTAACTTGATTACATTTTTTCCCCCGTCCTCCCTAGAGAATTTTTAAGAAATGTTTTAAGTCCAAATAACATGAGCACTTCTCTTGGCCATGCCAGAACCCCTTTCCGCTTGGAAATATTTGCTTTGGACGCCAGCCTTGCCCAGCACACAACACAGGCAATTATGGGAGCTATTTAAACGGGAGAGATCTACTGACAGGCGACGCCTCATTTGGAGGGATGAAGGAATCAGGAAATGAAAACTTCATTGATGCGCTGAGGGTTTGGAAAGAGAATTCCCCTTAGGCCCTCTGAGGCCGGTTGCATTTCTCCTGGGCATTTTTCCTGCACGAGCCGAGGACTTTTATATTTGCGTAGCCTTTACATGTTTGAATCTTTGAGTTTTGCGCGTATGAAAGAGAGAGAAAGGGACTGTATGTGTGTTTGAGGATGGTTTTCCCGTATGAGTTGTGGAGTTAGGGTTTCTGCTGCCTGCTAACAGATTATCTGCAAAGGTGCAGCTGTAGGTTGTTGGCAGCTTTCATCAGCTCAAAGGTCTTCTCTCTGCTGCCGCCACTTTCATGATTTGGAGATGAGACCCGGCGGTCAACACCAATGCAGCCACACAGCTGAATGAAAGCATGCCCGGCTATTTTTTCCTAAACTTTCCTCCCTTTACTCTGGCTGAAAGTGTAAATGTTAACTTTACGGAGAATGCACTGGTTCACCTGGCTCCAGAGTGACACTTTCTCTACGACCTCACTTGACATGACATGTAGTTTTTAGAGGAACGAGAGAGATTTGCTGATGAAATGTGAGAACATGACAGCAAATTTGGCAAGCTGATGAAGTGAGTGAGTGTTACCTGCCACTGACCTACTTATCAACCCCAGAGGTGTCTGCTGTGCCAGGTGCCAGTCTATGAGCACAGTCTCCGTGTGTTTCTTTGGAATCCACATACATTTCTATGTCCAAAAAGAAGACAGAGGGAAGTTTAATTTCTAACTCTGCCTGGCTGAGAATTCCCCAGAAAGGAAACTTAATCTCGAGGCCTTCTCAGACTGGACAAATAGACAGTAAATTAGTTTCGCATGACGCTTTATTAAAAAAAGCCTTGTGTATACAGCAGATTATTGATGTATTGAGCAGAGGGATGGATAGGGTTCCAGTGTTGTCGGTAGTAAAGGACAGAGCCCAGGTCTCAGGGGGAAGAGTCACCTCCAGAGTTTCACTGCAGTCACGCACAGGGACGGCCCGGACGCTGAGCTCTGCAGCGTGCCAGACAAATAAAAGCTGCAAAAAACATTCATTGTGCAAATCTTTCATGTTGAAAATAAACAAATATATCAAAAGATTTATAGATGTTCCACTGGTGCTCATTTGTCGAGTCACACAAAGACTTGGTGGAAAAAATGTTTTTGTTCCAGCTGGAAGTGCACAATTCATTATGGGTGGAAATGAAGTCGGCAACTCTCATTTGTGGTCAGTTTCCCTTTCGTGCCCCGTGGCAGCACGAGGCCTCAGACGACACCTTTGTAAATGCTCCGTCTTTGTATGCACTTGAGGTGGATTCCCAGGGTTGCTCGTTACCCCCGTGCTCCCCAACCCCCCCCCCCGCCTCATGTCTCTCTCCTCTTTCCATCTCTACATTTCCTCTCGCCCCCTTCCTCCCCCTTCCTCCCTCTCCCTGCATTCCTCCCGTCACGGGGCTGACAGACACTCGTCATCAGCAGGTACTCTGGCCCAGGTGGATCAGGTTTCCCACTTGCCAGGAGATTGTGCTGCGTGTGCATTTTTATGGCTTAGTGCTGCACAGTTGGAGGTTTTCAGTGCAACTCTGTGTGCTGCCATGTCAGATAACCATTAAGACAGACAGGGCCTCCTCAAACAGCTTAAGACAAGCTCTCTTCGGCTTTTCATGATTTCCAAACACTTTTTGTGCCTTGCGTTTCCTTTTTTATGACATTTGCACTCAAAGTACAACTTATGTGGTTGTTTTCCCATTTAGTTATTTCAGTCAGTAATTTCTTTATAAGTTTATTAAGATTTTCTAAAATGGAATTTATTTTATTTTTTATTTTTTATCAAAGAGCGTGTATTTGAACCTAAATGTTTTTGTCCTAAATAGTACTAGGGCCTTTTTTTCTGTTTCAAACAAGACAGGTCTTTATAGTAAGTACATAAAAGTAGTTAAAACGTGTTGTAAAATTGTACTTCATCATGCACCACTTCAATTCATATAAAACATAATTGTAAAATACTCACTCAAAGACAATTTTTTGTATTCATTCAAGTACTTGATTGATAACACTCACCTCCTCTTAAGTAACATCAGTGCAGGACTTTAACTTGTTCTTGAATATGTTTGTATTGCTTTTACTTTTTACTGCTCTTTGTACTAACTTATTATGCTTGTGTGTGTTCCTACCATCTCTGTTTGATAATGATCTACTGCTTCATGTCCATTAAACGGGACATATTTTTATTCCAGACAACCTCCAGACAAACGTTATTCTGTGTAGTGTTTGTTCTGTTTCAAAGTGATCTTATTAATTGTGTTTTGTGCGTCTGACTCCTGGCAGATGTGGATGAGTGCTCAGATGGTAACGGCGGATGCCAGCAGATTTGTGTCAACATGATGGGCAGCTACGAGTGCCGCTGCAGAGAAGGATTCCTCCTGAGTGACAACCAGCATACCTGCATCCAAAGACCTAAAGGTAAGTCACGCAGACACACACACACACACACACACACACACACACACACACACACACACACACACACACACACACACACACACACACACACACACACACCACACACACACACACACACACACACACACACACACACACACACACACACACACACACACACACACACACACATTGTTGCTTTATGTTTAAAGGCAGCACATGTTGCTGCTTTGGCTCACAGTTGGATATTACTTCATTTTGTGAAAGATAATTATTCCAACTAACATTTGGATGATTATTGCAGTTATATATTTATGTATAATGCATGTTTACAGTACAAGGCATTTTGAATAATGTGATGAGCTGTGCAGATTTAAACTGAGAATGGGATTGGCCCTAACAGGCCTAAATGGAAAGTGAGCAAAGCTAGGTGTCTCCAGTCTGAGAGGGAAGAAAAAAAAAATGTGGATAAATCTCTTTTTGTTTTGCTCCCACCCTTTCAAATTGAACCAATCTAGAGCTTGGCAGCATTTTAAGGTATTGGTGGTATGAGAATGGCCTTCGGGGGACTGTGAGCAGAGAAAACAATTAAAGGTGTAGCCTGGGGCAGACACTCCTCTTGTTTATAGAGCATTCCTGTGGGATGGAGACGTGACAGGAGCAGAGCCAACCTGCTCTGAGGCAACAGGAGCACTGCAGACAAAACATTTATCACGTCATAGCTGTATAAAAAGCCAAGCAAGCTGTCAGGAAAACATCTCTTTTAGGCATGTTATGTTGTAGCAGACAATGTAGAGTTTTACAAGTCTATGAAACAACAGTACAGTGGTTTTAGTTTGTAAAAGATCCACTCGTTTGTTTCAATCTTGTTTTTGTCATGTATAACATCTGTTTCTCAGCTTTGCTAGATTTGTTTTGCTGAAAGATATATTCTTGAGAAGTAGCGCTCTATATTTGCTGTATGTGTCATCAAAATATGGTAATGTAAATGTTCCTAGTTTCAGCCTTTTCACTTCTAGGGCCAAATACATTTTTGATTCGTCTTCTAAGAAATATTTTCCTGATGAATCTTATTATTATGATAATACACACACTTAAGGCCAACCTGCGATTCTATTAAACAACAAATTAGACTATATGATCAGTTATACTAGCGTACTTTTCCATATTTGAAAGAGGATATAGAATTTCTGATGGACCTGATTGTGGTTCCAGTAGTGTGTAGGATTCAGGCCTCTGGGCGGGTGTTTCCAATGGTAACGGTTGACTGACAGCGAGAGCTTGCGTTGCTAGGAGAAGCGTTGTTCATTTCCGTGGTGAGCTACTGAAAGCGTTTCAAAATTCTAGAAAACGTCAAAAGATAATCTCCTTTATTTACAGCCCACTTAGCATTAGCTACCTCTTAGCTAACTTTTAGTGATTTAAGCCATCTGTCCCATTTTAGAACAAATTAAACAAGGCTAACTGGTGGCTAAATAACTATATTACTGTAGCTAGCATAGAAGCAACTGTAGGTGTCCTAGTTTGCTAATGTTAGCACTGCATCCTCACTAAAGGTTATTTTTTCTTCTACATTGTTTCAACACCTGCTGAGTCATCGGAAGCTTGTGCACACAGTTTGACACAAATACAAGGATGGGATACTAGATCGTGTTAGCTGTCTCTATTTGTGGGTATAGCACTGGGAAACAAATGTTCGTACATTGAAACAGATAACTCAAATCCCTTATCACCAAAAATGTTCTCCCCCTGGAATAAACTAATGTAGGTGGCGCTATCACTGAAGAACAAGATATTAATCATAACTTTTAACCTTTTGTGATATTGCTAAATTGACCAAATAAGGCACAATGGACCCAGTAGGCTTACCACTGATTTCTTAGCAAATATAAAATGTACTCTCAGATGTACTTTGAAAGCACACACATTTTGCTGCTGGAGATTTAGTTCATCTGGATTTCGACTCCAAAGCATAATATCCCTGATTTTGTTCCTGTGCGGTTATTTGTTGTGCTGTTGCTCTGCTTGTTGTTTGTCACACTGTAGCATAGCATGACCTGCCTTTGTACTTTGTTCGGTAGATTTCTCAATAGATCACAAAGCAACATTTAGCAACATCATAGAAAATGAACAGCTGCTATCACTAGCTCAAAATACATTTATTCATCCAGTAATTATCCAGCTGTCTAAAGATTCCTCGGCTCTGCTGGTTCAGAACCGGACTGTTTTGTAGATTTGTTGGTTACTGGGTTTTGCAGGACTTGTCACTAATAAAGCCTGACAGCATTTGCAATGAGTTTCTCTTCATCTCTGCCCTCCTCTTTTGTAAGATAACAGGCCGTGCTGGGAGTCATTAGACTGTGATGTTCCTCAATCCCCCCGGACTGAGAATCTTGAAAGTCTGGTGTATGAGATCAGTCTGGCCTAGTGAACTGTCAATGTTTACATTTCATAAACGCAGTGTTATTTGACTGGAGTGAAAAGCTGTATCATGTGTTTCAAAGCACTACTAGTATATCTGTCACCGGAGCAGACTGTGAGCTCCGGTCCTACACTTCCTCTCTTTCTTGATAAATGCCCTCAGTTAATCTTCCATTTTCATATTAAATGTGTCTTTATTGCTTCCAGATGAGACCCATTTGGATCAAGAGATTATAGCTGCCATAAATCTACAAACTTCCTTCACTCATCAGATAGCCGCTCTGTCATTGTTTCATTACTTTTGAGAGACTGACAGAACAACTACTCATCTGCTTATTATTACTGCTCTTATTGCAACAATGTGTGTCTGAGGGAAACTGGAAGTAGTGAGGAAGCGGCTCGCTCAAGTTATTGGACAATAACCCTGCAGAGCTGCTGTAAATATCACTTTCCTTGCTTACTGAAAACAGTATGTACAAACTGATCTCATCTCCCAGCCAAGTCAGCTTAAATGTAACTCTCCATTCGTTCTGCAAAGGCTCCTCTTAAAGAGCAAAGCCTGGGGTGCAGTTTGCTCATGAGCTATATTGTTCTCATTAAAAATACATCAGCTTTCCATTTCTTTCATTAATGGGTCAGGTGTTCCCTGGGCAACTTCTGCAAGTCTTCCTAGGGACAGTGGAGAGCCGGTCACTGCAGCGAACACTCTTTTCCCCTGCTGGTACAAACCCTTGTTAGCAGGGAGTCTGTGCCAATTAGGCAGCGGGGGTCTACCAGCCTCTCAGCTAATGACACGGCTGCTGCTGGCCTGTCTCTTATTAGACCTGCCCCTGCCCCTGCCCCCCTGAGCAGGAATAACTCCGGCCAAATGAAGGCTCCTTCGTCTAGCCGGCCAAGATGTAACAGTTCATTTATTCTCCCCAAACATTTCTCCCAGTCAAGAAAAAGAAAGCCTGTGAAAGGCCAGCCAAGGTGCTCTGTGGTTGATAGGAATGCCATTAAGGTCAAGAAAGGTTCCACTGTTTGATTTATTGTTTCTTTTATATGCAGGGATAACAGGGACGTACTATATGTGCTTGAGACGGGATCCAGCACATTGGAATTCTTGAATCCCTGGCTCAGTCAACCCACACATCCATAATTTAAGTCCTGTACGTTTCTGAATATCCGGTAGGGCAATTAACTTAAGTGTGCACTGATGGGCTGTTGTGCGAGTCACATTTTATTACTTTTGGATTCAGTCCTTTTGTCTTCAGCTCTAATAAATAAAATACTATGATTATATGACTTGAAATGTGATGTAATTCTGCAGAATCAATTTGTTAGACAATAGATACATATGGTTAACTAGCACATAAGAGGTGCAGCTTTTAACAAGAAGGTGATTCATCTGGATCTAGCTTCCTGTTACTTTGCCAATCAATACAGCATAAGTGTGCCTGGCATTGTGTGGAAAGCTGTTGAATATCAGCAAACAAGTTCACACCAGCATGTCTGTTTCAGCGTTTGAAGTGCATCGCAGGGAAAACCTTGGTTATAAAAGCCCCTGAGGTTTTACTGTCACCATTCTCTGCTGGAACAATTTGTTGATAGGCGACTGCACTCAAGTCTTCAAAGGGCACAGCCACGGATGAACATACTGTTTCTATAACATCAAGCAAGTTTGCAGTTAAGGAAGTATATGTCACTTTTTTAAATGGAAAAGTGTGGGCTGCAAAAACAGGATAATCTGTTTAATGTTCAAATTATGGTTGAGGAAAAGAGCAGCATACTTGTTTTTTTTACCATATTGGAAAATGTATAGAATTTTTTTTTATCAGATACTTGAATGTTAATAGAGCAGTGCTCTTTTTCTCTACAATAGGCCTTGTCTTTCTAGGAAATGTTTACTTGTCAATGGAAGCTCTTCCTGTGTTTACAACTTCCATCAGCTTCCCAAAGTGGTTGTTACCCCCTTGTGCAGCAAATCTCTTCTGGCTGTCTCTTTTTCAAAAACAAATATGAACACAATGAACATGATGGAACAACATAATCATAGTGATTTTCAATGTAATCCTGCTGGAGGCATTTTTGTACAGGTTCTGTTCTGACATTTAGACGCAGATGGTGGCATGTTGTTTTCAGGACAAGTGTTTTCTTGGCTGGCCAGAACTGCAGCAGCGCAAGGATTTCTCCAATAAATGGGATACAAACACCAAATAAAGGTTCACATCATATTCTCTGGAGGTTTAGCTCTCTAGCCGTCACATTCTTCCTTCATGATTTCAGACACCGGGTCATTGAACCTTGTATTATCGATGTTTGTTGTCATTGTAAACATATAAGAGAAAATACTTTCTTAGACTGTAAGAGCATGTAAAAGCCAGATTCCATCATTCAAAAGAAGCAATGTTTAATACTTAAAATATCTTTCTTTTTATTCGCATAAAGACATTTTATGGGTTTAATGTATCTTCATGTCTTGTACTGTTTGGATATCCCACTGAGCAGGAGCCGACACGGTTCTTACATGTTCCCCCTCGTGGTTCTCAGCAGGCTTGCCTGCCTGTCTGTGCATTGGCCACAGAACTGTTTTTACAAGTGCAGAAGTCACCGCTCCA